GGCTCCGCCGCTGGCGGGGTGGCTCGGCCACCAGGAGTCTCAGCTCCGTCCCATGAGGGAACAGGGATGGTGTCGGCCGTCGTTTCCATCCCTGACCCTAGGTGCGGCACAGCACCAGCAAGGCTTGATCAAGCTAGCGGGCAAAACCACACACGTCACCTCAAACCACGTATGGTCGTTTCTCACAGTAACAAGTGCCTTACTAGTAGTAACAAGAAGCTACTAGGAACAAGTGCATAGCTAGTAGTAACAAGTGCCTTACTAGTAGTAACAAGAAGCTACTAGGAGCAAGTGCATAGCTAGTAGTAACTCTAACGGCACCACGTGCAAAGGGAGTGGGACCGTGAGGGGCTAAAGCGCAACACAAATGCAAACATGCATCGCGCCAAAAGGCGAACTTGGCTCGGGCCCTTCATGGCCGCAAGTGAAAGTGTCGTGACAACCGAAGGTCCACATGAGTCAACCTGCTATGCACTAATGCGTCCAATCTTCACACTCATGTGCCTCCTTCAGTTGGATGACAGACTTCTGGAGCCATTCAAGGAACTTGTCCCTGAGCTCGACCGAAATCTTGGTCAAGGAGTCCACCATCTGAAGACCTGTTGGAATCCAATGGATCGTATGACGATCGACCACTTCTTGGATGCTGCGGATGTTGACGAGCGAACGCTTGTCCTCAGCAGTTGGATTCGATGAACTCACCGAATCGTACAGGCTCTTGCAGTCTGTAGCCAACAATGCCCTCAACTTTGGCCCAATGCGATGGGCCGGAACTCCAAAAACCAACTCTCCAAGGCTGTACTGCAAGTAGGCCAACCTGTCAGCTGCTGTATTGGCGGCTACCGATTCAGCTGCAAGCGTCGAGCGGCAAACTCGCTTAGACCTGGATGATTTCCCGTCGACGACAGCTCCATAGCAAGCCTTCTCGGTGACGGTGGCGGGCGTCAACAACAGTACCTGTCCATTGACTTGCACTGCCTTGGGCGTTAGCCCAACTTGCGTCACTATAGGCCAGGATTGTGGTGCTTTTGTCAATGGGCACGGGGAACAACCGAAGTCCGAAGGCCTTGGTGTCCTTCACATGCTGTTGGTACAGGCAATCAAGGTCACCGTACGTTGTCTCCTGTCCTCTGTTGGACAATGAAACTGCACTGCTGATGTCCAACCTGCTTTGCCCTGCAAGCCATTGCAAACAACCACTGATCGACCTGAACTCTGGCCAATGCTCTGCTGCAAGGATGTCAGTCTTTTTGTTCTTTCGACTGGTGTGGCCCTGCTCCAAACTCTCAATGAAGGTCTCCTGAACGATGCGGAGAGTCTGGATGCCACCGGTCTGCTCAAGGTGCAGCTCCTTTCCCTTGAACACTAAGGGATGTCCAATCTCCAGAAACTGCTGTGCCCCCCACTTAAAGGCAGCTGTAAACTTGTCAAAGGGGAAGGAATCGTTGAAGGTGATGAGAAAATCATCAACATAACAGATAAGAACTGCAGCTGGCGAAGGTGGATTGACAGGATCCGGGAAGTAACACATCATTCTGTCGAAGGAGTGGATCCTGAAGCCTAGCCGCTGAAGTCTGTCCGTCACTTCTTTTGCCCAGGTGTACGGCGCGTTCGAGAGGCCGCACACATTTCCTGTGATCTCGTAAAGATCACTGGTGAACACCTTGGCTTTGAGCAGGATGGGATCCTTCGGGGCGCGAAGGTAAAGCTTTCCAGCTCGTTCGGACAGGTCTTGAGCTCCCTGTAGGAACGTTGTGGTTGCATCACCTGCCCGCATCTTCCAAGTCCTGGTGGAGCCAAAGGCTTTTCCATGAAGTCCGCTCAGGAAGATGGCATAGGTCAGCATCTCTGAGATTCTGCTTGGCGTTGCTGCCTGTCGGGTGAGCGACTTCAAATCTGGGTCTTGGTTTCCTCTGGCAACGATTCTTGTCTTTGCCTTGAGCGGAGGCACTCCTTTGTTCTTGTCTCGGTAGCAAGCGCGACTGGTGATCACACGCTTGCGCTTCTGAGGATCTCGTAGGATCTCCTGAGCTTCTGCGGGTGGAACAGGCTTAAGAGATTTCCACTCCATGAAGCTTGCTTCTTCTTTTTGAGCTGAGCTGATGAACTCCTGGATGTACTCTTCACTTTGTGACAAGATGTCGCGATAGTGAAGCTCCTTTCGACGGCTGTCTTTTCCTGTCTGGTCAAGCTTGGTGCTCCTGTCTCGTAGTCCTCCACTTCGGTCTCTGTATCACTTGGTCGACTGAAGTGATCATCAACTGACTTGGCCAACTTGGTCGCATAGACCTTGTAGTAGTGCTTGGATGGTGGCAGTGGAGTGTCTTCTGATCCATCCCAGCCAGGCTCAATCTCTTCAAGTGCGTCATCAAAAGCTCTGAAGGCCTGGGTGTTGCGGGATGGCTTGGAGTACCATAGCTCGGTGATGGTATTCATGGGGCCATCGAAGTTGTGCTTCTCTTCATCTTCGTTGTCGGGATTGAAGACTCCTTCGAAGATGATTTCATTGGAATTTGCATCGATGGTCCTCCGCCATTTCACATGACTCATAGGAGGGCCTGTCTTCATCGTCAGCTGTGGCTGTGAAACACAAAGGTCTAGCCGAGCCCAGTCAAGGGGCGCGCAAACTTGCTCTGGTAGTTGAAGAGCTCAAAGGATGAATTCGTGACTCTGCGAGCCTTCACATCCATCACCAATGCATCGAATGGCCGTTTGGCCGGAAGCACTGGCAGCGGTTCTGTGGGCTCAGCGAGCTCTGGTGGTGTAGTAGGGACAATCTCTTCAAGATTCCTACCTGGTTGGTCATCTTCGCCCGTGAGATCCACCATGTCAGATGCCTCAAGTACTGGCAAAGGGTCCAGTCCTGAACTTGGTAGAGCTTGAGTTGGGAGAGAGTCTGGGTCCGGAGGTGTGAGCCACCGCGCCTCCGTGTTAGGCACCCCAGAACTCTCCCCAGGATGTGGTTCTGAATGTTCCTGAGGTGTCTCTTGAGACGGTGCGGCATCTGCAATCGGTGGGACCTCGGGCATAGTCAAAGTCGCCTTCCTGGAAGTTTCAAGGCGTCTCTGGCTCAGTGGGGTCCGAGTTCTGATTCGTCGGCTTGGTGTAAATGGCACTGGTGTCATGGCTTGTTCTGTCTCAGGTGGTCCAAAAACATCTTGAGTCTGACGAATGTTCTGCTGCAGGTTGATGACTGTCTGTGGACTCTGGGGCTCATACGGATCATGCACGGCTGGTGGTGGTGAACTTGTCCTGTGGCCGAGAGGTAAAACCAATGGTTCGGCAGCTTGGGCCTGTGGATGGTCTTGTTGAGGCACATCCAACGTGGGGAAGTCTGCATCCTCGAACTCGAGGTTTTCTGCCTCAGGCGGTGGAGCCTCAATGCCTTCTGGGATTTGGTGATCTTCCCAGAGATCATCGGCATATTCTTCTCAGCCGTCTTGAGGGCACGAACATCTTCTTTCGTGGGGATGTAGTTCTCGTACCCAAAAACATTTCTTGCTTGGCCTTGTGAGACCTTGACGGTGTTTGCACCGCTCTGAACCCATAGGTCACCTGAAGGGTCGCTTCCAAGGTACGTTTCCGATGTGACCGGGTAGTCCATCTCCAATATGCCAAAAGTGATCCTGGTTTTGGGTCCTCGATGGCATCTGCAGAATTCGTCTTTCTCAACAAAGCTCTCCTCAGGGCTGAAGAGGCTGATGCTTCTGCAAGGGCCTTCATGGCTTCGCATCTCATCATGGCCGATTGTTGTTGAGCTTCTGAAGTGGTTGAACCGGAAACCAAAGCTCTTGGATCGTTGATGAAATCTAGGCCAATCCTTAGGATCTTGCCGAAGGCTGCGATGTATGGCGGACGACCTGAGCTCCAAGTAGCAGCATTCTTGGCATGAAGTGCCAAGACGATGCCGTGAACATGGTGTGGCATCAACAATTCTTTCAAGCAGCATTCTCAACGTGCCATTGTGTCTTTCAATGACACCTAATTGGTGGTGTGCTTCAGGAGCTATGAAGTCAACAAAGGTGCCTCCTTCGTCGAAGTACTCCTGGAAGTGGGACTTGAATGCTCCATCATCATCAACTGTCAACCTCAGCGGAAAGCCAAAGTTACGAACCCATGCTGTCTTGAAGGCTTGTGCAACATGTTCGGGATTTCTGGACTCTAGCCTGATAGCAGCATGGTAGTGGGTGGCTTCGCAGATGATTCCCAAAATGGGGTAGTTGGTGGATCTGATGTCGCGGCAGTAGAAAATGTCTGCTGGCAGATGATCTGCGAATTGGCCCAAATACTTTGGTGGTGCGGCTGGATTCGGTCTGCCTGGGGGGTTCGACCGAAGACATGCAGAGCACTGCATGGATTTGGTGGCTTTGATCACCTGGTCACTGGTGACGCCGTTCAAGGAGAGTAGCTTGATCAGCTCTCCTGGTGGAAGGTGGCCCATGTTCTTGTGCATTCTGGCGACTGCAGCTTTGATGGATCTATCAATGCCAGGTGTGCCAGGGAAGGTGATCTCGTCATGGAAGATCTCCTTGGTCGGATTCTCTCTGCCCTGAACTGGCTCTGGTTCCTGGTCACGTTCTGCTGCTTCTTCGCCTGGGACTCCAAGATCTTCATCAGCATTTCTTGGATAGCCGTAGAAGAAGACTGCGATATCAACTGGTGCTGAAAATCTTCCTCTCGGGAAGTGGACGTCGGAGAGGTCTTCTGCTGTGATGTCGAGCTCCTGTCTGGTGGTGTATTTCAGCACTTGTCCTCGGTGTGTATGAGGAACATGTTGTGGGAGCCTTTGCACAAGAGGCCGGTATGCAAGCTGAAGTCTGGTGATTTCCCATGGCAGTAGGGCTTGAGTCTGGCTGTAGAGAAGGTCATGCTTCCCCAGCATGATGTTGCTTGTACTGGATGAGGTAAAAAGCCGTCTGGCTTGGTCAATCACCTGTTTCCAAGCTTGCTGATCACTCGATGGCTGCGAGAAAGCGGCGTAGACCGTCTTGATCTGGAAGAGCGCTGGATTGCGCATCTTGGCCACATATCTGATTCCTCTCAAGATGGAGGTGACCAAGCCTGGAGGGTATTCTTGCGACAAAGTAACTTCCTTGCCCTCCAGAGGTGTGCATTGCTCCAGTTCTGCAGCCGTGAGCTTGTGGTCCAAAAAGCTGAGGAGGTCTTTGCTGTTGGAGGCAAATCTGAAAGCTTTCTTGATGAGCTGTCCTTTGGAATTGACTCCACCGTAGGCACCTGAGTGGCAGGTGCTGAGGAATCCGTTGGTCTCCTCGAGCATGGACTTGACTGAAGGCTCATCCCAAAGCCGTGAGGTGAGCGGGTTCTCAAGCAGGTAGTATCGTCCTGCCTGATGCTGCATCTTGCACCATTCCATGGCTTCTTGTAGGACCGGCCGTTCTTGGTCCCTTCGTGCTTGTAATGCTTCAGGGTTTTGTCTGTAGTTGATATTGTCTTGCATCAGGATCCATGGTGCGCAGTGCAACTCCTCTATCAAAACGAGAGGCTCATAGTGTTTGACGCAGCGTCTAATGTAAGCCTGGTGCTCTGCCTGAGCGAGGTCATAGCCGGTGTTGTAGTCCATCGGCTGGCATGCTGTGAGGCCATGCGCTGAAGCTCTTTTGGAAATCATGCCACGCCCGGCAAAGGTTTCCAAAATGTCAACTCTTGTTCTCTTGGTTCGATGGGTGGTGGCAAGAGCTTCATACAAATCATTCTCAATCTCAGCTGCGTGTCTTGCTTTGCGGATCTTGCCGAGCAGCTGCTTGCGATGTCCTGTGTCATTGGAGTGCTTCAAAACGGGGATCCTGGTGTTCCACCGCTGACCATCTCGTCCATGCGGCTCTGGTGTTCTGTCCAGGTCCAGTCGTATTCGTCCTCCTCCTGACTGCGGACGCTCTGAACGCTCATTGTCATGCCCAGGTCCGAGATGTCGTCGCCCGGGTCGGAGTAGATCGCCGCCGAGTTCGGAGAACGCCGATTCGAACCCATCCGAGAAGAGGTTGAGATCGGTGGTGGAGGAAGAGGCACAGGTGAAGGTGGTTCCTGCTTGGGCCTGGTCTTGCACTTGCTCGAAGCTCCGACTGCCGCTGGCTGGGAGGAAGAGGCCTTCTCCAAGATATTTAAAGCGCAAGGCTGCGGCAAAGAAGATCTTTGAGACACAGACCAACCAGCCGATGCCTCCCATGCCTGCTTTTCCGGAATCCACTTCACTCGGCAATGGCACAGTGTGCACGTCGCAAACGACCCGTGCTTGTTGCCGCGCCGTTTCCATTCTGGATGGCTGCAATCCGTGGGCATCTTGAGGGGCTCTCTCTTCATCTTGGCCATGAGCGTATCGAGCTCCCTCTGCTGATTGGTCTCGCGAAGTGTGAGCCAACAGCGACGTTCCATGCCCAGTTTGACCATCTTTGACATCCACTTGAAGGTGGTGAACTCGATGCTCATGAGAAATTGGACAATCCTCCTCCATGCCTGAATCCATCGGGGAGGAGCTGAAGGCATCTGTGCGCGAAGATCGAGGCGCTGAATCTTCGGGCCTTGAGTGCTGCTGAAGTCGAGGGTGCAATGAGATCACTTCAGGATGAGGGTCGTGCCAAAACTTCTCATGCGACAACTGTTTCCAAACATCCAATTCATGCACACGTGAACGAAAATCAGCAATGCAAACTGCCAAATTTCCATTAACCTTCTTCAACTGCATGCTCACATCTATTGCTTTGAACTGAATTGTGGATGAGGCACAATCAATGACTGCATGCATGCTTTCCAAAAACGTGTTTGAAGCCAACAATGGAATGTTTGCTGCAACAGAGCTTGCTCCAACCAACATATAATGACCGTCCAAACAAACAGGAATGTAAACTCGGTCCTTGGCGGTGATCGGATCTCCAGCTCCAAATTGGAAAGCCTCGGGCGCAGTGATCGTCTTGCAACAAAGGCGGCGCTGTGCAAGGAGTTGTTGATGGGAGTGCAACCACGACTGACCACAACACATACGCTGGCATGCGGTATCAATGATCATCAACCCAGCCAACCCTGCCAATGCATCATTGTTCAACAAAACCTCAAATGCACTGCAAAAGGTGACAAAGGTGAAGAACGGTGGTTGCTCAACCTGTGGTGGTACTGAATTGTGTGTGGTTGAACCATCGTCCCGGTAGACCGTGGAGAAGAGCACCTTTTTCGACTGCGAGGACGAAGGCATTGGTGAAGGCTTTCCTTTCTTGCCAATTCCTTTGGAATCACCTCTGCCTTTTCGACTTGCTGCACCTTCAGCATCCCCTGCCCAATGCCCTTGGAGGCCACAGGCGGAACATGTCGAGGTCTTCTTGCGCTCTTCGATGGATTTGGTGCCACTGAATCTTCTGCCCAATGTCATCGACTGCAACTTTCGAGCGGTCACGGTGAGGACCTGTGCCAATGACTCGGGATCTGCATCTTCCAACTCCTGAGGTTCTTCTGGGTCCTCAGGATCCTCAAACATCTCCTCATCTGCCAACTCTTGACCATCTTGGTCAGGAATCAACTCTTCTTCATCATCGCCGTCTTCAGCGATGGAATGAAGGGCTGCTGCATCATCGTGTGCAGTGACAAAGGCATGCTTGGCCTTACCTTTGCCCTTTCCTTTGCCCTTCGTGAAACTCGATGAGGTCGTGGTGGATGCGGATGACGAGGAAGCTGATGAACCTTGACTTCCAAACTGTCGGGACTTGATGGGTTGTCCATCTTTGCCAAACAACTGTGCAGGTGGCTTGTGCTCGGGGAAGGACATGCACAATGACTCACAAATTGAGCTGTACGACAAATTGTAACCACTTCCAATCAAAACCAACCTCTGGTTCTCCGGGGATAGCCGACTGCGTTCCAACAACCTGTTGCCCCGGCTCTCTTCGTCATACATTCCTCGAACATCGACTGAGACCGATTGCAATGCTTGTTCAGCTCGTCGATACCTGTTTGCAAAAGCTCGTAGTGATTCCGAGGGCTGTCGAACAATGCTTTCGTAATCAGCCATGAGCTTGCGTTTCTGGTATACCAACTTGGTGGCCAAACCTGATTGCAATGTCTGCTCAATGTACTCAATACCATCCGACTGATCCAAACGCTCCAAATCACAATGCTCCAGTTCCTCTTCAGCTTCTCCGGTCAATGAGCTGTAGAGGAACAATGCGGCATCACGCCGACTCATGAAGCCAAGGATCTGCTTCTTCCAAATTGCCAACTTCCTTTGCCACTTTGGGAAGCTCCTCAAATCATCTCGGGAATACCGCCATGCTGGAGGATTGGGTGGTGCACCTGAACGGTACTTCACACCGCGCTTAGGACCCAACCTTGAGTTCCAGCTCTTGGAATCCGAGTGATCGCTTCCTTTGGAGTCAACAACATTCTGCAATGCTCGGACCAGGTTGTTGATCGAACGTGTCAACCCAGCTGATTGTCCTGTTGGTAATTGCTCCTGTGACGGCAGCTGTTGCTCAATGTCAATGCCTGTACCACCAACTGCTGCTGTTGTTGCATCATCAACTGCTGCTGCATTGTATTGGGCTCGTTTCCTGGATCTACGATTCCGACGGCGCTGGGCACCTTGTGGAGACAAAGTGTCAGGGTCAACAATCGGATCCTCAGTGCCGGCTTCAGACTCTCCGCGCTCGCGTCCTTCTGGAAGACTTGAAGGGGGCTTCGAAGGTCCAAAACCTAAATGGCCGTCAACAAACTGCTCTCTCGACGGGTGCTCGAAGTGAACATCATCCGGAGGATGCAATGCTTGCGAGGCCGAACTCTGCCGTGGCATGAAAACCCAAACGCCGTCCTCAGTCTCATGTCGCACAGGCTGGGACACACGGTGGTAGTCAGCGCTTCGGCAATCGGCACACTTCCAACCTTCACCCGTCCACATGAATGTACTGTTACCGCACTGCAAACATCGCCAAGAATCATCAGTAGCATCTGAAGCAATCGAACGACGTGAAGCGGCAGCGGATCCATGCGGGGAGAGCGGGAGGTCATCAAAGTCGAACATCAACCCGGAAGGACGTGACCGACAACCTTCAACCGGCTCCGGTGCCAACTAACGGCACCACATGCAAAGGGAGTGGGACCGTGAGGGGCTAAAGCGCAACACAAATGCAAACATGCATCGCGCTGTTTTCAAAAGGCGAACTTGGCTCGGGCCCTTCATGGCCGCAAGTGAAAGTGTCGTGACAACCGAAGGTCCACATGAGTCAACCTGCTATGCACTAATGCGTCCAATCTTCACAGTAACAAGTGCCTTACTAGTAGTAACAAGAAGCTACTAGGAACCAAGTGCATCGCTACTAGTAACAATGTTCGCTACTAGGGGCTAAAGGGCATCGCTAGGAACGGAGCGATCGGACGCTACGAACGGGGAACCGTACTCGAACGGGTCTTCGAAAGTCGAACGGGGAAAGTTGAAAAGCGGACGGAAACGGCTGTGACACACTCTTTCACAGGTGTCCATTTCGCGGCCTTTTGAAATGGGGACCTCCCCCTAACCGTGGTAGAAGGTAGTCATCCGAAACACTGTGAAGGCAAGAGTATTGAAACAAAGCACGAATGTTCTGCTTTCCCCAATAGGGATCTCACCACCTGTCCCGTCTCCAATTAGCGGCTTTAGTTGCTGTCCATGTTTGTCTAAGCCGTGTTTTGATTGTTCGGCTCTGACCTTTGAAATCGGTGACGGAGCTTTGACTCTTCGCAGCGTTTTAAGCTGCGGTCGAGGTCAAAAGCCGGGTCTCTTGTTCCTGGTAGCGAACATTGTTACTACTAGTAAGGCACTTGTTACTAGTAGCGATGCACTTGTTACTAGTAGCGATGCACTTGTTACTAGTAGCGTCTTGCTACTAGGTGACTCAGAGACACAGGCAAATGTGGCGGTTGCATACACCTTTGCGCACTTCCTTCGGCTCGGCCAGTTGCAAAGTGCAAAAAGGTGCTTTTTTGGCGAAGCTTGCTGGGAGTCAGATGCTCAGTTTGGCGCACGTGGGAAAAAGAAGGCTGAAGGCTGTGACAGCCAGGAACAAATGCGAAGTTTGCGAAGCAGACTGCAGGCCCACACTTGAGATGCAGAAGCGGCCATGCCAGACCCAGCTGAAAGTCATTGAATGTGTGGGCAGTTCCAATCCCGACCAGCTGAAGAAGCTGGAAACAAGTGAATCAAGAGTTAGTTCCTTACCATGGCCCTCTACACTCCACCCAGCCCAACAGTTGCAAGGCCTGTCTAGAGTGCAATCCTCCGAAAAGAGTTAGCACCAAGGGAAGAAGCTGTCCAAAAACAAATACAACAAGACTTAACTGGTTTCTGCAACTGAACATGCAATCGCAGTGTAAAGGTGTCTTGCTTGGTTGCCGAGTACAGCACAAAAACAAAACATGAACGAACTCGTCCAGAAGATAGAGATCACACAGCAATTGCAACAAGAGTCAATTGTTGGCTGTGGGGTGCCCACACCCGGGCAACTCGGGCTTTTACTGCGGAGACAGGCCCGAAGGAAAGACAGAGGCAAAAGGCCTATCAGCGATGGCCTCCAACCTACTAGCCTTCTTGTTACTAGTAGTAGCATCCTTGCTCCTAGTAGCGAGGCCAGGAGCCCCGTTCGTAGCGTCAATTGCTCCTAGTAAGGCCAGGAGCCCCTAAGAGCTTCTTGTTCCTAAGAGCGAAGATAGAGGCAAGAAGAAAGAGAAGGAGGCAACAGGAAGGAACGCAGAAAAGCGAGAACCGTCGGAACATAACAAGTTAGCATTGCAAGCAACAAGCATCAACATCGCTCACAAACAGAGAGAGAGAGAGAGAGATTTGTATACAGTATGTTACTAGTCGCTTCTCTGTTACTAGTAGTAATGCCAGGACCTACTAGTAGCGTCCTTGCTACTAGTAGTAATGCCCTTGTTTACGCGCGTTCTGACTTGCACAATGTCACTTGCCTGGGATGTTGAGGAAACGCGCTCCGGGGTTGCTGCGCTTGCATTCGTCGTTCAATCTGAAGAAACTAAAGTCGAAGTATTAATCTAAACTATAATTTGGGTCTTCAGCTTAGATTGAATTTAGCCATCTATATTTTCTTCACTGCATCAAATGTTCAATTTAGAGGTAGATACAATAATAGACTTTAGATCTTTCAAGTCTTTCCATCTCAAAAGCATTTGCTAGAACCATACCCCATAGGCTCAAAGTTCCAGACTAAACAAAGTGACGAGACTGGCATTGCTGCCCAGCTGCAGGTCTTTGTCACCACCGTCCGGGGTGATGAAACCAAAGCCCTTCTCTGAATCCCAATTGCTGACCTGAAGAGTCAGCAGTACAGAACAAGCTCCTCTTGAAACAAATCTCATTTTCAAACAATTGAAAAAGTTGAACAAACCTCATTTTTAACCCACAGAACTGGTTGGTTTCTCTTTTGGGGGCCCTCGCTACTAGGGTGGCGGCCATCTCTAGCAGGTTGGAGGCTACTAGAGTGGAGGCCCTCGCTACTAGGGTGGGGGCCATCGCTACTCACACTCACTCACACTCGCTCACCCTCCCACTCTCACTCACACTCACGCTCTCACTCACTCACTCACTCACTCACTCACTCACTCAC